CATGGGTTGTGGAGCATAGTGGCCTGCCGTTATCGTGCGCTACGGTCTGGGCTGTGCCTTGGTGCATACTAGCGCCTTTGCGGGAGCATTTGCGTTGGAGGCGGCAACGGTGACGGCTGCATTTTGGCATAGATGAACAACGGCAGATGTACAAGCAGTACTCGGAGTCAACTATCGTCGAGTGTAGATGTGATGGAGCAGGATGCAGAGCCGTCGGTGATTGGGTGGGATCATGTTTCCAGGTGATTGCCATGAACGGTCCCATGTGGAGCTATAGCGTGACGGTTGGCCCAGCTCTCAGCCCGGACGTGTTCCGCGGAGCGAGCCGTTACAACGTCATAGGCCTCGCTCCACTCTCGCATGGCGGAGACCGCTCGGAGTAGCGCAAACGAGGTTCGCAGCAGCGCAATCCAAGGCGGCGAAAGCTGTCTACCATTGTGACGAGCTAGGTACCTGGTCAGTAGCTTGGGCTGAGAAAACTGGGATGGCTAGGCAAGTGGACTGTCCCGTTTTGGTCATGGCGGAACTGCAAAAGCGCATGTTGTAAAGACGCAAATTCGGACCGGCTCCAGTAGTGGCAGCAGCTGGAGGCCATCGCGATCGAGCATAACAGACGCTAGATGCCGAGATTCTCGAGCTGGCGTGCGGGCTAGGTAGCGATTGCCTCTTCATCGTCGATCGGGAAGGCGCACTACGTAACGCACAGCAGAACCCACCAATCGCACGGTCCCCACGCCTGCCCCTGCTCGTTTGAATCGCTTTCCTCAGTTCCGCATGCTGCCAAAGCCCCCATTGTTTGAAATCCCATGCCAGGCGATCTTTGCTCCCGCGGCTCTCTTCCTTCTTCCCTCACAACTGCCCTGGCCCGCTGCTTCTTGCCTTGATCACATAAGCTCTGTCGGACCCTCCTGCCCATATAAGGAACCTCCCGCCTCAGGCCTGCACACCATACCTTCCGTGCCCCCACCACACCAACAACAAACAACGTCGTCCACCATGACAGCAATCCAACAGCAACCACAGTTTGAGTGGGCTGGCGACGCTTTCACAGCCATGAACAGCCTCAATGGCCCCTCCCAGCAGGACAAGTGGGCAAACGCCTTCAGCAATCCCACCTCAATGCCTCCCCAGCAACCCTTCTCCATTCCACCCTCGCTGCTTACACATGCCACCATGGAGCGTTACGGCCAAGTCACCCCGCCTGAGGAGCCCTCACCAGCACACGCCCCTCGGGACGCTCGGAACGAGCGCGAGACGTCCATTCCTGTCGAGCAACTCCGCAACGAGACTGTCTTTTGGCCCAAGCAGGAAGCCTCTCCTCAGATGCCGCCTGCAAAGCGACGACGCACCAGCCGCCAGGACTCGGCCAATCAAGACGCGGTTGCCGGCTCTCTGCCTAGCGTCCCCGTTGTGCAACAACAGGATAACGCCGACGGCAACCCTCAGCCGCCGAAGCGCAAGCGGGGCAGGCCCAAGTCGCAGCCACAGATGGTCGAGGCCTACACTGCAGACGGCTACCCTTTCCAAGTATCGTCCGCTCGCCAGACGCACCTCGAGAAGAACCGTGTAGCTGCCCACAAGTGCAGGCAGCGCAAGAAGGAGTACATCGGCAGCCTCGAGGGACGCGCGCGCGAATTCTCCGCAAAGAACAAGATGCTCAAGGAGAATGTTGCGCTTTTACGCGAAGAAGTCCTCGACCTGAAGAACGAAGTTCTACGCCACGCTGGCTGCGGCTTCTGGGCTGTCGACGAGTATCTAGCGCGGTGTGCCGGCGGCCTTCTCGGCATGGACGCCCCTGCACCTGGTATGCCTGGCCACCACGCAACACCACGGCATAACCACAGCAACCAGAGCCCCCATATGCAGAACTCCAATATGCAGAGCCCCGGATTCTCCAACCAACACGCACGACAGCAGAGCATGGTTTCCATGAGCTCCGTCGATGTCGACGATTTCCATGGGCTCGAGCTCCTCAAGGACTTCACCGACGAAGACATGGACGACATGGAGGCTTAGGAAGCCAACTTGCACATTCTCGCCACCAAGGCTTTCCAGTATTGATGCATTTGACATCGCTCTGCCTTGACCTTTGATATGCAATGTGGGCTGCTGGCTTGTCACTGTTCCTCACTTCTTCCAACGATTTCACGATACCCCTGGGCTTTGCCTTTCTCTGAGCAACCAAAAGCTTCTTTTCTTATTCTACATTGCTACAATGACCAGCTTGCCTGATATTGCCTGCTGCAGTGGCCACGATTTCGACGACATGGCGTTTGAGCGGTTGATGGGATTGGTGTCCCATCGCGTACGAGTGTACTGCCTAGATTCTACAAAGTATAAAAACGGAAAGGCGATTACTGCATATCTTCTCCAGGTAGTCATTTCGATATGAATGAGTATATTCAGCAATACAATGACCTCTCCCCAGTGATCCTCCGTACTCTCATTCCGTTCAGCTCAATCGATCCAGGTTTCGATAACGCGGACCCTGCTACTCCACCGACGTCGTTGGGATGACGTCTCGCTTACCGACTTCGTCTAGCAATCCCCACATCCTGTCACACGTCAAGTCAGCCCCAGACGGGTATCACACAGCATGCGATACTCTCATTGGCTCACGGAAAGAATGCCCGGATTGAAGCTATCTTGGTCCCGAGGTATAGGACAACTGTTTAACGCCCGCGGAATTCAACGGTTCGCATCCCAACATAGCTTTCCTGCCGGCCATGACAATTGATACGAGTAGCCTGCCACCTGACAATTCGGCCCTTCTCAACGGCGCGGTCTTCCGCGCCGTAGGACTGTCCAGAAACAGACATACAAGCAGCTAGCCTAGCAACGATGCGCTTCCAGTTACCCATTGCAGGTACGCGGTGAATCAACTCGCTACTCTGGTCCCATCAGTGACGTCCGAAGCCGAGCACGGCAGATCTCCAGCTCGCGTAAAGTTTTGATGGTGAATGATGTGCTGAACTATGAGCGGTATGTCATACTTGCCAGGGAACAAGACCCACTGCTGCAGATGTCGTTCGGAGCAGAGTACCTGAGTGGGATACGACAGGTGTGTGCAGAGATAGCGAAGTCTGTATGCCTTCGTATGCGTATCCGCAGTAGCATTCCCGGAAATTGCCTACGTAATTTTACATGGCAGGAATGATTATGCATATTATGAGCAACATGACGAAGCTCCAACATTCTTCCTTCGAGAGCTTCACAAATTTTCTGTACCTTCATTAGCTACGGACGAGTTTACCTATCGCGTAGCATACGACACCCTGTTCATGCGAGGTGAAGATCCGGGTTCCTCCATCCTCTCTCCCCTGGTTAGCGTACTCAGAATTCCGCATCTTTCACCCTTGACACCGTCGTCTCCAGTTGACGACGGGGTCCCGTTATTGCGTCATATCAGCCGATTCTACCGCGCCTAAGTTGCATTGCTACTTCCCGTTCTCAGGGATCCGAGTCTTGGCCAATTAAGGGAGTAATGGACTGACGGAAGATTTTGCCGCGAAGACGCCTCGCTTGATTAGTATACGTGAGGGATTGTGAAGTAATGGGACGGGACAGGATACTGCAGATAAGCGAATCGAAGTAGATTCCTCCTTCGATCATTTCTTGGGAGGCAGGGAGTATGAGCCTGTGTCGTAAGCCTCATTGCGAAGCCATTACTTGACGTCTCCGTGACCCCGCACGACGACAACGAAATTCCCTCCTCGACAGTGACGACCTTGCATTGACTACCCCTTGTCAGACTTCAGTAAGCATGTCTGTCACTTTACATGTGTACGCGAAGTCCGTCGATCGTCTACAAAAGGCAACCCATCTCCCATTGGCCAGGGAGCACTTTTCCGGCGCGACCTCGGACAGACCGTCCAGGGCCTCCACTATCCCACGAGGCATGCAGCTTGCAGGCAAGAAATCTCAATTCGGTTCTTCTTACGTATATTCGCCTCCGCAACAGGAATCTCGCATGGAAGTATCTCGGTAGATAGCAGATGAAGATGAGCACCGATACACCGAGTGGGGATACATAACGTCATAAGGCTGAAGGGACCCCACACAACACCAGATTCTTCTCTGCCTCCAAGCAAGGAAGGGGAGGCGACTTTCACCGTTGAATGTCAATCTCACAGTTCTCTGGGGAAAGCGCCAACGGGCTGCGCGGTGGCGAAACGGTCGGTACGTGGTTACTTGTTCTGGAAGGGAACGTTGAAACGATTCGAAGCGGGCTCCTGGGCCGTGGGCAATAGGGTCAAGACACTACGCGGTGCGGGTGCTGTACCCGTACCATCTAATTTCTCTGAACAAGTTCTGCTCTGATTGTAACCGGTAGATCTGCTGTACATCGTGTGCTGTCACGTCAACCCGCATGGACAAAGTAAATTGCATTTCTTGCGCAAGCATTGTGATCCTGACTGTCTTGGAAGGTACCACTCTGTCTATACTGGCACTTCTTGACTTCTCTATACATTTGAATCTGTGAATCATCGCCAACGCATGCATCAGACACAAAAGGGGTTCTTGCCACTCTCACATCTGGTCCACATGCTGGCTATACAGAAGTCTAGGCTCATGCTTCGAAATATGTAGGCTGACTCCATCTGACTTCTCTCTGTCTTTGCGCACATCCACACCCACACACACATAAATTTTGCACCGCATATACAGTAGCGTTTGGAGCATCTAGACCACGGCCGCCAGCAGTCCGGTATCGAGTAGCTCCTACCAGATAAAAGCAATGATGCGTAAAGCAAAACGTCCAGATGGAGCAACTTATTGGCAAAGTGTTGAAGGCAGTGGAACCTTTGGCCGGTGCGATACAGAGGTGTCTCTGAAAATATCGGTCGTGGCTAGCGTATCCAGGGGATGTTGCGGTACCTGTTTGACTCGTGTGGTGAGGTTGAGTGTAGTAGAAAGTGACGCTGGCGTCGACAGGGAAGGGCAAATGTGAGCGAGATGTCGTCCGTACGATATCGTTACTTTCTGGTCATCTATAAAATCTACTGGGTCAGAGGTGTCTTGAAAACTAGCGCGACGTGGTCGTCACCGGCCGTGACGACTGTCTCGCCATCTCCTTGTACAAAGGCCATGATGCCTCCTCCTTCACCACCTCCCCGGTGTCCCTTCCACTCGCCTACAAGGCCCTTTCCAGCCGCAGCCGTTCCACCTCGTGCATCCCATCGCTTCAAAACACCGTCGTATCCCACACTGGTCAACAGCCAACCTCCGGGGCCTTCCTTAGCGACGAAGTCGAGCTTAACCACAGCTTGTGGTGACTCGTCATCGGCGTGTGCGTCTTCTATCCGCCTTCGGACGGCGAAGCGGTGTGCGGTGTCGAAAAGGGTGATGGAGCCGTCGACGTTGCCGGCGGCCATGAGAGTGAGTGGTGCAGAGGAGAAGCTCATGCACTCGACGTTGTCGCTTCCAGCTTGGAGACTTGCCAAGATCTGTCCGGCTTGACCAGCTGACGAAGCACCGCCTTTGGCGCCAGCCTGCTTGCCTCCTCCAGCTTTGTTCTTTGCGCCTCCGCCGCTCGATGATGTAGATGCTTGCGCGGGCGCAGCGAGAGAAAGACGAGGGAGTCCGACGATGCGGATTTGGCCTTCGGGGCCACCGACTGCGACGAATGCGCCCGATGGCGGGATGCCGACTGAGTATAATCCGCCCTCAACGCGGAAGCGCTCGTCCAGGCCTGTCAGACCTACTACGGCTTGTGAATCGGTAGTCGCGGTGAGACCTTGGGATGCGGCATCGCCAAATACATCCCACACGTATAGACTCGAGTCTTCGGAGATGGTAGCGAGGAGGGAGCCGTCGGGCGACCATGAGCCGGCAGTGCAGGTCTCGGTGTGGAGGTAGTATGCTTGTAGGACCTGTAGCTCGTTGTTCTTCTCTGTGCTGATCTGGTAAACCCACACTGAACCGTCGTTGGCTCCGAGCGCGACAACGTTGGGGTGGTCGGGCGACGGGTTGGGGATGACCCAGTTGATCTCCTCGACCTCTTGTGCCTCTGCCAGGAACTTCCACTTCTTGCCGTCGGGGACGCCCTGCCAGACGCGCAATTTTCCGTCCAAGCCAGCTGTCGCGACGAATTGTCCCTTTGGCTGGGTGAATGTGATGGCGTTGACCGAGTCCTTGTGTCCGTCTAGTGTGAAGATGCTCTTCAGGCCCTCGCGCTCGGTGGGCTGTCCGTCGCTGCTCGGTTGCGCCGCTGCCGCCGAAGACGCGTCGATGATGTAGCCGACATCGTCGCCGCCTCCTGTCGCGATGATCTCGTGGTGTACGGGGTGTTGCGCTATGCAGAAGATGCTGTCCTTGTGCTCGTCAAAATGCGCGACCGAGTCGTTTTGGAGGTTGATCTCCATCTCCATCTCTTGGCGACCCTCGTCACCCTCGTCGTCTGAGTCCATGGGCACGTCGCCATCGTCCTCCACAATCTCTTCCGCCTCCTCGGCGTCTAGTGTGTTGTCCACATCATGTACGTCGATGTCGTCCTCGTCGTGCTGGGGTTGGTTGGGCGTGGGGTTTGTGATGGCCATTTCGTCGGCAATTTGATTCTGTTCCTGTAGAGTATGAGAGATATGGGTACAAGGAAGCGCGCACTGCTGTTTGCGCGAAGTTATATGACGGGGCGCAGTGTGTTGCTTAGAAATGTAAAATTGCACCTTCTTCGAGTAACTTTTCTGATCCAAGACCCTGTCGGAGGGGCACAAACGCCGACCCCACCACGCCCTCACACGTCATTTGTCATCCATGTCTTTCGTGGTACGGGCTGCATTGGAAACCATAATCGCCTTCAGAAAGATTGATACACATGCACAGATGGTTTTAAGCATCGTCGTTTCTGCACTTCATCATTCACCAGACCCATCCGTAGTTGAGCAGCTACTACACACGGATGGGCAAACATACTGCCGTCTCCTCTCCAAGCCTTTCCAGAAGCCGAGCTAAACGCTCGTCGACCTTTGCGGATGCTTTATGCATATCTGCGGCTTCCTGAAACAGTACCAACAGCTCTTTCCGGGTATCTTCGTCGTGTGTGTTGCAGATAGTGATCTCTGGCTGGTTGCTAGCACCTGCTGCGCTTTCCTCATCTCCGCTGATATACTGCTGGGTATTTGCATCGTCGTTACCGTAGAGCAGGTCATGCTCACTCTCGTGGCTATCACTAGCGACGACCGCGCTTGAGATCGAGTACACCCCGTAACAAAAGATCAGCCCTGCAATGTACGTGATAAAGATAGCGCGACTTCCGTCTTTTCCAGCCTCCTCGTCCAAGTTCCTTGTCCAAGTGAATCCGAGGTACACAGCAAATCCGACGAGCAAGCAGTTGAGCGAGGCCGACATGAGCATGTTAGGAGCAGAAACTGTCAGGACAGCGGCCACGGAGGGTAGATCGGGATGTTCAGAAGGAGTTGTAGGAGGTAGATACGGAGTCCTGCCCTTAAAGCGATTCTTGCCGCAGATCCAGGTCTTCATTTGGTCGATTCGCAAACATCGTCCCAGGGTACGATATTGCCTTGTGGCATAGTAGACAGCCATGATGGCTGAGACTAAACTGAAAGTGAAGAACGCCCGCGCAACCCAATGAGTCTTGCTGAGTTCATCCAATGAGAGTGCGGTGATGGCGATCTGGGCGATGATAGTTCCCTATTGTTGGGTCAGTCGAGCAACACGTATAAAATGAGCTAAACAAACTTACTGCAACCGCTATGATGTTGCTGTCCTCTTGTGCTGACTTCTTATAGTTTGTGACATCCCCATCGTCGATGCTGCGTACGACCTGCAGCTGGATTTGCCATACCTCCCGACTGGCGAAGCACCAAAGCGCTATTCCAGTAAGACCGTAGTGTGTGATGAAGAAACTTATCCGAGAAGCCTTGTATTTTGCGCTACGTGCAAGAGGACGGATGACATCATGACGGCGCATCTGATATTCTACAGCCGCGTATAGGAGGACGACCAGTCCGATGACCATCCCGATGATGGAAGCTACGGTGTCTGCCGTCATACCTTGCATGTCTAAACGACAATGATATACTTGGCATGTAGGTAAAAGTTTTGAGTGTCAATATACCCGTAAGTAAGTCAGGATGCTACGAGCACTTAAGTAGGAAGAATGTATTAATCGATACCATATTAACACCTGGACGAAATCTCTGAGGCTTAGACCCCTACGATGCGCTGGCGGTTAAAGCCCAGCCCCCTTGTATGTGTGACATGTGGTGGCGCAGTCTCAGCCTGATTCTATCAGACGTTCAGAACCTACCATGAATGTAGCCTCCTCACCGGAAGGCCTCTCCTGTCTCAATGAGAACATTCTGAATCGAAAACAAAGTAAGCACATGCTGTAGTTGTTCATCACTGAGGTCACGGTTGTCTGCATGTACGTACTGTCGCTGAAGTTTTTCTGAATGTAGTGACCAATAAGATCATCATCTACAGCCTGGCCCTAGCCTCGTCCTTAACAACGAGCCCAAACTTCCCGCTCTTCTCCTTATCCCTTAGTACTCTCCTCAGAATCTTGCCGGAAGGGCTCTTCGGAATCTCATTGATAAACTCCACTTCCTTGACCCACTTGTACCTGACCTTCTTCTCCTTGACATACTCGATGATGTCTTTCCCTGCTGCAGTACTCTCTTCCGTTCCCGGCTTCAAGACCACGTACGCCTTCGGCAGCTCGCCAGAGTAATCATCTTTCACGCTCATCACAGCGACGTCTTCGACCTTCGGGTGGCCTAGAAGCAGATCTTCGAGTTCAGCCGGTGCGACACCGATGCCCTTTACTTTGATGAGTTCCTTGATACGGTCGGAGATGTGGATCATGCCCTCCTCGTCAATCGCACCGCGATCGCCGGTATGAAGGAAGCCGTCGGCATCGAAAGTGTCGCGAGTAGCTTTCTCGTTATTGAGATAGCCCATGACGACTTGTGGCCCACGAGCGAGAACTTCGCCATCCTCTCCAACGTCGCCTTCCGTGCCATCGTCTTTGATGATCTTGACTTCGGTAGAAGCTACGATGGCACCACCAGAGTGAGCGTACTTGTATGAGAACTTCGAAGGCGGGTGCGCAGTAATGCACGAACACGACTCCGTCATCCCATATCCTTGCTTAAAACCGGTGTTGGGAAACTTCTTTTGAAGCTGCTGTATAATCTCTTCGGAAAGTGGAGCAGCACCCGACGAAAAGCGTGTGACATGGCTGAGGTCGTACTTGTCAACTAATGGGTCGCGCACGAGTCTGATAAGGATCGGTGGTACCAGTAGAAGCTCACTAAGCTTGTATTCAACGATAACATCCAACATCTTTTCCATAGTAAACTGCGGAAGCATGACGACCTCGGCATTGAGCAGGACTGGCAGATGCATTTGATGGACTGTAGAGGTAGAGGTACGAAGTCAGTATATGTCTCACATGCACTTCGTACAGTCAGAACTTACCTAGACCGGTGATGTGGAACAGAGGAAGTACGGCCATGATCTTTTTCTGGGTTTCAGGCGTGATCTGCTGTACCTGAAGACATTGCGCTATGACATTCTGGTGACTGATCATAACAGCCTTTGGCAATCCAGTCGTTCCAGAAGAGAAGGACAGGAAACCGCAAACGTCCTTGTTCTTCTTGCCAGGAGGCAGCTTGAATGCTGAGGTCTGCTCAGAGTCGGCATATGACTCTCCCATACGGATTAGATCCTGAACGGTGGTGTATCCAGGTAACTCGCCCTCCAGTAAGAACACGTTGGACTGCGGTAGTCCTGCAGCCTTTGCACTCGCAGCTGCGATCTCCATACTGCCAGGCGTAGTCATCAAGAACTTCGCGTCCGCGGTCTTCAGCGCGAATGTCATCTCTTCAACGTTGTATGCCGGACTGGCCCCGCTGATCTTCGCTCCTACGCGGAGTCCAGCAAACATGGCTACCGGGTACCAGACAGTATTCTGGCTGAACAGCGCCACTGTCTCGCCTTCTTTAAGGCCATATTTCTTGACCAGAGCGGTGGAGATATATGTGGAGTATCTCTTCACATCAGCCCAGTTTACACGCTCCTTCGTTATCGCGTTTTGGAACCCAGCTAGTTCGCTCGGTGGGTATTTGTTGATAGGCGAATAGGCGGAATCGAAGAGCCAGTCCCAGTCTGTCAATTCGGTTGGTACTACAACGGTCAGCATCAATGATAAAGCATTGGCATGGTAGATTCGACTTTTGACGACTTACGATCGATAGGCGGTTGCCTGGACCTAAAGATTACCATATTGATGCAATTGGCTCAGCAATGGATCGGAAACAACACGCGACTTATAACCGGGTATACTAATGCGAGGAAAGCAGCACTGCAGAGTCGTGGGACACGATCAGGTACAGAAAGTGACGGGTTTAGAAGCGAGTGACCATGGATGGACTGCCTCCATGCCTTCTAATAGGCGACTGCCACCATTCTTCCTCGGCGCGCTCATCTCCATCGGATTCGCAGCGCTCGAGTCGCTCGTGGAGCGGGGATAAGGTGCAAGGCGGGGAAGGAGCAGCTCCCGAGCTATCTGAAAGCGGTTAAGATCGGCAGTCCTTCTGACGTTATTTCGGGTAACATCCGAGCCAGGGTGTGTAAGAGCCGCTTCATTGCCACACACCAGTTCATCTTGTTACGAGGTTTGAGTGGAACTTCAAAATCATTGGTACACAGAACCTAGATATAACAAGGCCCATGCCCAGATAGCTACCGCGACTTTCAAACCTCTCATCACGACTAGCCGAGCCAATCCGTCATCTCCACAACCAACATGTCCGACGCAGGAGATTCGCAACAAGACCCTATCTTGAAAGTAGAAAGCAACAAAGACCTCAGAATCACTCTCATCGGCACCGGAACTATTGGCCTATCTTTCGCCGCCTTCCACCTATCACACCTCCTCGGTCCTTCCCAACTCACCATCTACGATACCCGGCCAGATGTCGACCAATACGTCGAAGAAAATCTACCGAAATTCTTCGCAGAGGAACCCGCAGCAGCCGCTATCTCCAACATTCGCATTGCCAAATCCCTCGAATCAGCTGTAGAAGACGCCCACATCATCCAAGAATCCGGTCCGGAGAACCTGGCCTTCAAGAAAGAACTATGGGCAAACGTGGAGAAGCATGCACCAGATCACTCGCTGTTTTGGAGTAGCACATCTGGTATCCCAGCGTCGCAGCAAGCGCAAGACATGCAGGACAAGTCGAGGTTGTTGGTCGTGCATCCGTATAACCCGCCACATATCATGCCGTTGCTGGAACTAGTGCCGTCGCCGGATACCTCGGAGGAAGTCATCAAACGGACGCAGGAGTTCTGGAAGGGTCGTGGGAGAGTACCGATACATATTAAGAAAGAGACGACTGGCTTTGTGGCGAACAGGCTGGCATTTGCGCTGTTGCGCGAGGCTGTTCATCTCGTGGACGAGGGCGTTGTTTCGGTGGAGGAGTTGGATAGTATCGTAGAGAGTAGTATGGGACCGCGATGGGCAGTCGCTGGGCCGTTTAAGAGCTATCATGCTGGCGGTGGACCGGCGGGGTTAGAAGGCTTCTTTAAGAATATTGGGGGTACGGTGCAAGATTGTTGGCAGGATGCGGGGAAGCCAAATGTTGGAGACGGATGGGAAAAGAACATTTTCAAGCAATCGCAGGATGCGTACGGTACTGTGGATGTCGGTGAGCGTGATAGGTTGACGCGAAGAGTGTTGGAAGTGTTAAAGGAAGAGAGAAACAAAGGCGCACAAGCCTCAGAGGATTGAATGCAACCAAGACTAAGCAACCAATGTATTGTTTGGAAGAGAGCTGAGAGTCGACGACGTATTAGTACATCTAAACGATAAGGTACAAGCTGGTGATGACACTAGGTCCAATGAAGAGACCAAACCAAAACACAATGTTCCCCAACGTATCTCTCCCCTTCATGAACTTCGTCTTGCTGAACGCTGCCAGCGGCAGCTGCGTCAACTGGAAAGTGAACAGATACCCCCTGACCTTCTTGAACAAACAGAACATGAGAACCTCATGTACAATAGCGCTGAGCAAGAAAGTGAAGAACGTTGCCTGCATCTTAGATAGATGGAAGAACGATATCGACGAGTGGTAGACATGCCGAAGCAGGAAGTTGTGGACCGGCCGGTTCCAGTCGCGAGCGTATTGATCGAAGGATACGGAGTTCCACCACGCGCCGTAGAAACCGCGGTCGGCAAAACGCGTGACTTCTGCCAACACGTTGAGGAGACATTCCCATATGACGTACCAGCTGAGAAGCTGTTCGAGAAGAAGGGGGAAGAGCATGTCGGATACTGTAAAGGGAGATTATTAGCGGTATATCCAACGGTCTCATAGTGACGTAGCACTTACCAACCCATGGAAACTCTTTCCATCGCTCATCGAGCGACATGCCAGCCTCTTTGTGTCGCATAGTCTCTACGACTACTGGGTAGATGTATGCTTGCGAGATGATGATCATAATCCAGATGACTCCCAGGGTGGCCGCTGACTTTTCCGCTACATACCACCAGTTGATGCGTTCCTGCCTAGGATACTCTAGATCATAGACGAGTGTGGGAAGGCACGCCCACTCTACAAAGTTGTAGAACGTTAAGTTGTTCGGGTAGACGTTATCAGTGGTAGTGCACTTTCCACGAAGCTCTTCATCAAGAATCGTAATCTCGGTGTTGAGCACGCGTCGAAAGGCTTCAATCTGTTCCGAACCCAGCGGGTTCCCGGTTTCAATAGCTTTGCCGATAGATGCAATCTCAGACTCTTCCTTTGATAGATTGGTAGAGTACTTTGGCCCAATGCTTCCCCGACGCGTCAACTGGCCTTGGTCAGATTTCTCAAGACCGGAAGCAGTTAGCGCCTCAGTCGGAGGATCTGTTCGGGTCGGGCCCTCATGCGCTTTGATATCATCCAGTTGACGTAGTTTCTCATGGAGCAGATTGCGTCGTCGATATACTCGCGATACTATTGATAGTCAGCTCAGGTCTCTTATTTCAGTGCGGATCACATACAATAGCCGTTGTAGAAAGAGTAAGCGTGCTGCTTCATCAGCAACACGAAGACGTGGAGAACGATAAACACTGTATGAGTCCAAGGCCAGTCTCGCCAGAAAGTAACCCAGATGATGGTGCAAGTGAAGAAAGTCTGCCACAAGGACTGTATGAGCCAGCCTGAGCCGTTCCAAGTCAGATAGTCGTTGACAATGGCCTTGTGCAGAAAGAAGCCAAAGCTGGTGGCTAGACACATTGCGACATCGGTCGTCAACATGACGAACAAGTCTTTGTCGATCATCAAGTGCAGAATCTCTGCATCCCCAAATACGGAGCCTTTCGTCCTGTAGTTGCCTGCTGCTATTCGCGCGAGTAGCAAAGCCATCGCAATCCAGAAGAGTGTGAAGAATCCATGGAACGGGGAGTGCGCAGCGGACGCGTTTTGGCGGTCGAACGTGGTGAACTGTTGTGTGAAGACAAGATCGCGGGGTTTCCCCTTCGCCTTTCCATTGAGTTTCTCAGCCTCTCGCCGCAGACCTGACCGAAGAACCTCTTGGAAGACAGGATCTTTAGCAGTGAAGGTGTATTCGCCCTTCTTTCCCGATTGCTCTAAAACGACCTGGATGCTCTTTCTACGGCCTCCGGGCTTCTCGACCACCTGCGTTTCTGAACCACTGTCATCGGACGGTATCGCTGTCGTGCTTCTACTTCGCGAGTCTGCTGCCTGCTCATCGTTTTGTGGACTCAATGTCGTTGCGCCGTCCACATCCAGTGTTTCCGATGCTGCGTTGGCTGTCCACGTGTCGTGACTACCGAGCGCGGGTCGCGTCGACAGTCCCTGCAATACGTGTGCCATTGCTGACTTCTTGGGCACCAGCGGTGTAGATTAGAATTTTTGACTCTGCAGCTTCCTGTCTGTGTTGTCTTCAATAATTTGCGGTTTGGAGATGGATACGCGCCAGTCTGAGGATATATACCGGATGTCCGTGGCTGGTAGAGAGACTTGTGGCGTGGGTCCCTTGTAACGGAATCATCGGAACAGGTGGATGTTACGAGCTCACGGCGAGATGTAAGACGACGGCCGAGCTATGATAAGATAAATCAGAGCAGCTGACCGCCTATCCTCCGAAAGAACAGATGCGCGTGAATGAGACGCGCAGGGAAATGGCTTTTGGTCGAGGCGACGAACATGATGTAATGCCGCGCCCTGCATCGCGGAAACTGATCCGTGGCTGCACTAGCCACGTCACGTGAAGCTCCAGCCACTCGCAAGGCTAAATTGCCCGGGCGATCACCTGGGCACCTTTGGGCGGCCTTCCTGTCCTGCCGTGCCAAGACATCGTTCCACTTTGCGACGCGACACTCTCTTGAGCCGCTTGCAGAGCCGGACTACCCGCAGACCACTGCTATTTGAGGCACAGCCCTGTCTCTTTTTGTTTAGAGTCGGCAACAGCGTTGATCCCGACGTAACCCGCAAACAGCCTCCCCGTCTCATTTCAACATACTGCGGACATGACTTCCTACGAGAAACCCAAGCCAGTATACTTTTCTTTTCAAATGCACTGCGCTCGGGGTTTACCATATAATATGTCTACGCGCTGAGGCTTTGACACCCCGGCTCCAAGGCGTCCAGAGGATCTCGCGCACTCTCGCTTCGATCCTTCTGGCACAGTAAGGCGCCCGACAAACGCTTTGAGAGGCTTAGCGACGCTTCAGCTGCCCCTGACTTATTCCCAAAAACGGGAAAAACGGGAAGGCTGCAGGCTGTGAGAAGGCGGAGCACCAATGCAGCATGCAGTTGTTATTACTGAAATACTCTTGAGGTCGCCGCGAACCGTGTCTCGCGTCTTACCGTCAGTCGAACGCCAACCCACCTCCCATTGACTTCGGAAATCCAACGTGGGGACTTGATCAGCACCAACGCCCTTTTGCCATGGCACCCAGACGCAGCGGCGGCGGCGGCACCAGATACAGCAATGCTTCATGCCCCGACGCCTTTAATACACCGTACGACCAAGCCGCGCTTGCATTTGTGGTGCTGTTCCTGGTTCTGTACACGGGCATTTTCATATCGACGTTCTTTATCCGCAAGAAAAGCGGTGCCGGAAAGAAATTGATCGGTGTACCATTCGTTGTAGCCCTGTTCCTCCAAGTCATGTAAGGACAAAGTCTCTTTCACAGGCTTTAAAAGTGCTAACATGCTCCAGCACGCGTATTTTGAGTCTCGTAAGCCAAGTCATGTCAGAGTGCGACAATCTCGACTACATTGATTACTGGAATATCAACGTTGCCGCCAGCTTCATTGGCAGTTTGGCCAATGCTGCGCTGCTGTTCGTTTTCGTCTACATCCTGAACTCCATGCTGCACAAGCACTTTGGTAACATGTCATCTGGTTCTAAGACCGTACTTCTGATTACTATTGGCGTTGCGTTTGCTGTCATCCTAGCAGACGTTAGCATGTTTGCCTACGTCGCATTGGCGGACAACTCCTTGGATTCCAACTGGGACTTCGCGTTACTAGTTTCAAATGGTCTCGATCTTGCCCTCGACATCGTATGGGTGATCGTTGTTATTATTTCGGCGGCCATGTCTCTGTCAAACGTTTCGGCACTGAGATCAAGACGCTTACCCGGAGGTGTAAGTCCATGGCAGCTACTACCTACTGGTACATTTGCTAACAGCCCCAGGACCTCTTCGGCTGGGTTACCGCCCTCTACGTTACCCTATTCGTGAACGCCTCATTGGGGGTAGTCTACTCATCCAGTATCTACTGGCCCGTAATACCTTCCCTTGGCGCAGCGCTGGCCTTGTCGTACATCATGGGTCTAGCCAAATGTCTGGCTTTCATAACGCTACTGGGCATCGCCAAACACGTCTCCTGGAACCAGACGATCGAGAAAACCGAACAAACTTATGCGCCCGTTACGCAGCATCAGGCCACGTACGGCTATGGTAATGGGCAACAGGATTACTACCAGCAGACACCCGAACTGGTACATGTCAAGTAGGTGGAAGGTAGCTGAGGGCGCTCGATGAAGTCACGCGTCATTCTTACGTTTTTTCTTACATTGCAATGCTGCTTCGCTATATACCCAAATCCTAGCTTCAGAACATAATGCTTATACCATTCACATCCTGCATGATGCAGCAGACCGACCTTACTCTTTGACATTTTCTGCACTGTACGGTCTCCCAACTCTGCATCCGGTGTATCATTGTGCGAATCTCGGCCGCGATAACGTCGAAGAGAGCTGCTTGCCCATTCAGTCTTTGGTGCACGTGTCATTGTCAAGGTGCAATCTGTGAAAACGAAGAAGAGTTCGTCTTTTTCTTCGGCCGACCGGTGTGGGATGGTGATTCGATGCGGAGGCGCGGCACTGGGGGATCGAAACAGGCAGGCACATCTAATGAGGGCCAGATGCACCTACCTGCACTGGGCCCAGGCACTACGTAGGACACCCATCATGGCTGTACGCGAAACGGTTGGCGCATATCTTTGCCTGGATTACCCACAGCGCTGTACACCATGTTATGTGCGACGGTATCCTCATCTGCTCTAATCCCCATGGCAAGGTGTTCACAGCATGCAGCCGCGCCTCAGCCGCAGCGGGTCATGCAGGCACTCAGCCTTCTTGCGAAGCCTGCTTTACCACTCGATCCACCCTTATCTTTGAGCTCAGTCTTAGCAACATGACAATGCGACACTTTCGAACGGACAAGTAATGCGCACACAGCAAGTACCCTATGATGGCCGAAGTCGTAGGCCTCGCAGCTAGCATCATCCAGATTGCGGGGGCTGGCGCCAAGCTCAGCGTCGCGTTGTACAACTTCACGAACTCAGCCGCGCGGGCAGACCAAGACGTCAAGGACATTGCCGACGATGTAGAGCTCACATCGAATGCGCTCGAAAGCGTAGGCAGAGTGTTTGAGTCCGAGGAGGCCGGATCCATCGTGTCGAAGAAGGCTATCCAGGACGCTAACAACATCATCAAAAAGTGCCAAAGCGTCTTCGACGAAGTATCAGAGATAGTAGAGAAGAGGAGAAAGACTGCAAAGGATGGAAAGAAAAGCTTGAGCGTGATGGGTAAGCTGGCCTGGCCGATGAAGGAACAGCGGGTCGAATTGAACCGAAGGAGACTTGAGAGTTTGAAAAACAGCCTTGTGCTTTTGTTGCATGTCTTGCAATTAGCCCAAGGTCAGGCGCGAGGGTGAGCCGAGTTAATACACTACCATGCATAAAATGCAGCTGACGATAGCCACAGTATAATGGAAAAAGGTGTCTTGAATGAAGAGCGTGAGAAGATCCGCGAACTGCACCAGCGACAGCAGGACTCGCTCAAAAGCCTGCAAGCTCTCGAAAACAGATTTTGTCATATCGCAATCAATGATGAAGAAACCCTTCGAGGATCAAGCGCCGCCTCTCGTGTTCCAACTTTGGAGCTTATGTCCAACGCTCAGGTTGTTAAGCTGCCTCCGCTAGAGAAAGTCCCAAAGCCTCAGCCAAACGCCATTACCATCGAACTCTCGACCCCAAATGATTCGGACACTTCTGACAGCGACGCAACGATGTCAGGCGATGACAACGAAGAGCAAATCTCGACCGAAGAGCTGGCAAAAGCAGCGGACCATGTGATGAAACTGTTGAAGCGCATCACAATGCTACAGAAGAACTTCGACGTCGACAAGAAGAAGCATCGGAAGCGACACGTGCACAAGATGTATCAACGCTTTTGCCGCAAATTTGAATCCGGTATCAGGCTTCCGTCAGCTACCGACTTTGGAAAGGTTTCTCCATTCATCGATTTCGATATGAACGACAACTCGGGCAGTCTGGAGAACTTCGACTTCGATAGCTTTCTTCACGTTCCGGATGAGAGCACGCAGCTTCCTTTGGATGATTTCTATTTCAGCCAAGGGCAGCGTTCAGTGCCTCAGCAAACAACCAATCTTGATGCCATTCCGTCGACGCAGAGCTCACAGCACCCGCCTCTTATGTCACAGCACCCGCCTCTTGTGTCACATAGATCGATCGAGTCGATTCCATCATTCGATGCGCAAATGCCCTATTATCCTCCAGTGCCGAGTGGAAGTGCAGCCTCAGACTTTCCGTTGGATCTGTCTGGTCAGCAACAACGACCTAGTCTTGGTCAAGGACAGTCAGCACTGGCTCAGCAGACTCCTGAAACATCATCGCAGACGTGTGCGCGGTTTCAGAGGCAGACGCAATCTATGGCTTCACGACAAGCTCAAGCACAGGCTCAAGCACAGGCTCAAGCACAGCACCAACAGGCTCAAGCACAGCACCAACAAGCTCAAGCGCAGCGCCAACAAGCTTATTGGCAGCACCAGCAAGCTCATTCGCATGCTGCAATGCAGCCAATGTCAGGAATGATTCAAAGCCTGCCTAATCCTGCTATGCCCATGCTCAACAGGCCCATGCTACCACCAGTCTCTACTTCTAGTCCTTCTATGCCTACTTACAGCAGACCTGTGATTCCTGAGATATCTCAGTCATCACAAAGCGGTGTCGAAAGCTCGCTGCATACCCAGTCGCCCATGCTGACCGCAGATTCGACACTCTTACCACAACCGCCGAGCCCTACCACTGCCCTGCGAGACTATCAATATCAGTTGATGTTCTTGGATTGTCGGCAAAGGAAAAGGAAGCCACTTTTGGAACGGGAACAAGATGGCACCAGCCAATCGATGACGGATAATTCGATGACAGAGAATATCCCTTCTCAGCCTGAAAGCAGTGCGAGACAAGATGCGCACGCAGCTCCACGCGTCTTGGGTTGGCCGAATTCAGGCTCTGGGAAAGTATACAAAGCAAAGATGGGGAAACGTCGAAAACGTGCGTTGACTGCAGAGCAAAAGAACAATGCGGTTACAATGCGCTTAGTGGAAGCCTGCAACAACTGTCAAATCCTTAACCTCAAGGTATAGTATATCATAACACTTTCGTGTGTCGTACTAACTGACCGTAGTGCGATTATGACTATCCGTGTAGCATCTGCATAAAGCGGAACCTTGGGAGAGAGGAGCTTCCTCACGGGATCTGTCGCGGAATAAATATCGATGAGCACATTCAAGGGTTTCCTGAAGAGTTTGAGCATACTAGCTCGAGGCTAGGCGTCCCTGTTCCATCCAGTTCATCATCAAGATACGTAGGGTCTGATGCCGAGGATTCACCTGCAAGGCAAACTAGTTGCATTGCAAGACAAAGCGGTTCCATGTCGGTAGCAATTGAAGCTATGACACCGGCTCTATGGTACGAGCCATACAGTCCCACCCCTGGCTACTCCTCTCCGAGTGGGTACGCGGAGCCGATGGCGTCGTCCGAAATCTCTGTGCTTAGCAACCAGTATTGCCGAGTCCGTACGCCTTCGAACGCGTCCATGAGAGACCCATTCCTATCACGGTCGCCGGATGATGGAACGGAGCAGGACGCTGGCCAGCGTTCGTCAAGGAAAAGACGACGTTTGGAGAAGGATGAGGATGATCTCTGTACCAAGGATGTCACTGACATAACGTTAAAGCTAGGGAGGGATGAGGAAATGACAGAGACTGGAAAGGTTTCGAGTTTGGTGGACAGAGATATCGTCGATGTGTTGCTCGAAGAATGGACGGTACCAGTGTATTGACAGCTACATGCTCTTCAGTCTTATTTCAAGAGTGCGCAATAGCTCACATATCCGTCTCATTTCAAGACGGTGCTTGTATGATATTCCAGGTGCACATCAGCAGAATACTCGTCTGCCCTCAAAGTATCCTCACTCCACCACCGTAAACTTCACTTCACCCGCGCCCTGAAATTCGATTGTCGTGCCTACTTCCAGACCTGCGCTACTCCAGGAAGCAAGGTAGTTCATTACCTCATCGACCGTATCCTCCGTCCACCACCACGATCCGCCGAGATGGCAGAGTATGTACTCTTTTCCAACCTCAAGCTTCAATCTATCCATTTTTCCGCCTCCGAAATCTAGCTCTCGGTGTTCGATGTACGTCTTTTCGAATCGTATGAACTTGTGTCTTTCGACCTCATAATGATCGCGGCAGATCTCTAAATAGGGTTCGAGCTTGCAGCGCGACGTTGCGTCGAGGACTGCCAAGTCAGATTGAAGAGACTTGACCCATGCGCGATCTGCGTGGACTGTAAAGGGATATGCGGCGTCCGTCGAGAACGTGAGCGTGAAAGCAAATCTCTTGGTGGGAGAGGAGAGAGAGTATGTCGATGGTGCTGATAGAGAAACGGTGACTTTTGGTGTGTTTGGTCGCGAACTTCGGGTCTCGAATATGATTGTGTCGTTTCCGTTGGCGGCCTGCCAGGGTATAGTCGGTGTGGCTGGTGTAGGAAGTTCAGACGCAGATAGCAAACCGCCCGGGCTTCTTGAAAGAGAATTCGAAGTATTCACCGCGCTGACTGGCCAATGCGAAATTGGGGTTGTCGGTTTGAAGCACAGTCTGTACTTCCTATTTGGTCGGAGAGCAGTAGTAATGAACGGCATTTCGCAGGATTTACTGGGCCTCCCTGTCGTAAAAATGACTTCGCTTTGGTCTTCGCGAAAGAGAACTGGCGCTGTGCGTTGGCGCACGACTTCAACTTCCTCACCCGTCTCATTGTCGACACACTGGATAAATTGGCTGGAGTTCATGGGCTGGTAAAGCCTCGAGCCTGCGAGACCATCTTGGAGGTATATAACTCCCTCTTTGAAGTTGTACTCTGCGATGATGAGGACTATGAAGAAGACGGGATCGTTTGAGAGATAGCATGTTCTTGTAACGAGAAGCTCGGCTTCAGCCCGCGGGCGAATATCGGTCATTTTGTCGATGTTGCTGGGTATCGGAATTACTACGGTCTTTCGATAGAATCTGAGGTCATGTGTAGCATGAAAGCAGAGCTTGATTGTGATTCAGAAAGTGTTGCAGTTCTTGACTGTACCCGTCGGCTGATGTACACCACCTGGGCACTGACGTCAGAGGTCTCATCACTCAGTACCAGTAGAGGACGCTTCCACGCAGCATAATCAAATGAGCAACCATTAGGTCATTAAAGTCCAAATCCACTCCCTTCTCATCCTCTCATCTACCACCAGCCTACAGATCAACCCAACACTTAGTACACCTCTGCCTCGCCAAACCAAACGGCCTTTTTCCCTCCTCATCCTCCCAAGTCTCCGTATCAAACTCACTAACCACTCTTCCCTTAAACGGCTCCTCCACACCATCACTCCAAAGATGCGTCACAGCATCCGCAATACACTCAATCTGGATACCCCTAAACCCCATCAACTTGGCCTCGCGGCGCAGCCAACGCGCTGCGCCCGACGCAACACCCTCGCCCTCATAGTCGTGGCGTGTAGACGTCGCATTGCGCATCAGTAACTGGCCTGGTGCGGTAGCTTTCCACTCCGCTGGATCCCTCGGATCGAGCTTCCTCAGAGCGCCGAAGAGCGGACTGAATTCTGGTATCGCTTCGTCTACCGGGCCCATCTTCGCGGGATCGAGAGGGGCGAAGCCGTCGTACGACAACGCTATGCTAACCAATGGGAAGTCCATCTGGCGGAGTAGTCTCAAGCCCTCTGCCTTCCGCCCTTGGGTTTGCTCCACACTGTTTTCTTCCGGTTCATTGACATCCCAGAATAGCTTCCCGCCTGCTTCTTTCGCCTCGGGGGTCTTGAACTGATATTCTGTGTCGAAGACGCCGTAGGATAGACCAGAGTCGATTTGGTGGGCGACGAGGTACTCGAGTTTTCTGGCACTTTCTAGTGTCCAGCGGCCGAGTGCTTTGTCGGGCCAGATGTGCTGCCAGATGGCGGAGTGGAAACCGTGGCTGTGGGCTAGGATGGCAGTCGCCCAGAGCAGATGTTTGGATTCCAGTTTACGGATCCCATAGCGGGGCTTTAGAGAGGAGGGGTTGGAGGGAGTAGGCGTCTTGGTGTTCGTTGCTGGTTTAGACATGTTCGCGTGTGTGGAGACGAGAGCCTACTGGGACTGTCTCTTCAAGTAGGAGGTGAAGGGGTTGGTGTCGATATCGATGGGGGTAAGTTCTGATTCGTACGAGGTGTATTTGTACCTTTCCACAGTAAGACACGTTGAGCTTCAAATGCTAGCTAGTCTGCGCACTCTTATAGAGAATGAGGAGGTGCCAAGAGCGACAATATAGTGTGTAACTAGCACGTGAGTGTTGGAAAGCAAATTCTCTGGCGTGCAAGACAGGCGCGATTAGAAATCGAAAGTTATGCGTGCGAGTACGTTTTGGAGGGTGCACTTCATGCATAAGAAAGGCTGACGCGAATGATCCACGCATGCAGCGCAAATCGACCTGCAAGCTTGTAAACCTTACCCTAATCCTCGCTTTTTTATCCAAAAATGGTCGAAAACGCGGGTAACAAATTCTGTGTGCAGGCACTCTTGTCCGTGTTAGGAGACCGGGATAGTACCAAGCTGCGAGGCTTACGCGCCTGAATGCAGTATGTTGAGCCGACCCACACATGTCCCTCGTATAAAGTACTATACATCAGGACCCTTGTTAATCGTATGTTTTCGGCTAGGAACAGATCTGTAAGGCTCTCGGTTAGTGACAGATGTTGCCACTAATGATGGTTTTGTAAGACCGGCAAATTCGTCAAGAAAGTCTCTGTTCCGAATTAGTCATCAGATCCATGATACCCACGACAGTCAGGAGAAGTATGTTTCTTATTGCAGGGCGCAAGACGCACAGAGCGTTAGACTAGTCCTTTACCCTCCTGTAAGAGCGCAATTCCTTGCTCTTTTAACTTGAATTTCTGGATCTTTCCACTCGCAGTCTTGGGGTAGTTGTCGACCCAAAAGACGTACTTCGGCACTAGTTCATACAGTCAGCATAGTTCCTAGGCGGGCCCGAGGCTTCGGATTCGACGTTCTAGGAGCGCATGGACTTACCTAAATGGTGGCTCAATTTCTCCCTGACCCAGTTTCGCACCTCGTCCGTGGTCACGTTCCCATCATCGCCAGCATGCGTGACTATGAAGGCTGCGACAACCTCACCGTACCGCTCGTCAGGTAGACCCACCACGCTAACCTCGCTGATAGCAGGATGAGCGAAGAGACAATTTTCGACCTCTAGTGGATGGATGTTCTCGCCCCCCTTGATGATCAGATCTTTTATCCTGCCAGTAATCTTGATGTATCCTTCTTCGTCCATGGACGCCTCATCTCCGGTATGCATCCATAGTATACCGTCTTCGTCCGGTTGTAGAACTTCCTCTGTGCGTGCTGTATCACCCCAGTATCCTTTCATGAGGAGGTAGCCTGACACTGCGAGTTCGCCGCGTTGGCCTACGTCAAGTGTGCGCGACCAGTCAGACGGACTGACGACTTTGGCGCGAACGTGTGGGAGAAGACGACCGACGCTGTCGATGCGCTTTTCGATGGGGTCGTCCGTGGTGGTCATGGCTGATACAGGAGAGGTCTCGGTCATGCCGTAACAGATGGTCAACTCAGTCAAGTTCAGGTTCTTGTGTAGCTTGCGCATGAGTTCCGAGGGTATAGCAGAGCCTGCTGCAATGCCGGTACGCAGATATTGAAAGCCATCTTTGGGTACAGCACCGTGAGCCAGCAGCTCCAGTTCAGCTACGAACATGGTGGGGACGCCATAGAGGGCTGTGCATTTGTATTCGCGAACGGCTTCAAGTGTGGCCAGGGCGTTGAAGGCTTCGGTGGGAAAGACGATGGCGCTACCGTGGGTGGCCGTGGCCATGTATCCCAGAATGCATCCAAAGCAACTACAAAGAGTCAGTTGATGTTGACAGTAGATTGCTACAAGGACTTACTGGAACAATGGAGGCGGACAGCACACAACGTCGTCTGGCGTTAATAGCATCCTATCGCCGATGCTATTTCCGTTGTTCAAGATACTCCTATGACTTAAGCACGCAGCTTTCGGCATGCTTGTAGTGCCAGACGTAAATTGGATATTGACGATGTCATCCGGATGCAGGCCTTGATCTTCAAACGCATTGTCCTGTGCGCCATCCTCGAATACGTGCTCGTATCTCTTGAGACTCCTATAGTCTCCCAGATCCACCCTGCCTTGCGCATTATTTACCAGTATGACGTTCTTCAGCGACGGGACGAGTTCGGATTCGAGGGTCGAGCCGGCGAGGTTGGGTATCAAGTGCGTGAGGAGCGAGATATTGGATCGCGGGTCTTTACGCGGGAGGTTCGTTTCGGCTCCGATGATGAGATGCGCGGCATCTAGGTGGTTGATCGCGTTGAGGACTTGGGGTGCGTTGAACGAGGGATTCAGTGGCACCTGTGAGCTGTTAGCTGCTGGTACCCATGCTTCTAGCCGGTTGGTTACACACCAGTATCGCTCCCAGTTTGAACAGCGCGTACGTGAGCTTTCCCCTGGTCAGCAACTATGCGTCTCCAACATGCTTCCACCATACAGTAGCGAACTCAGCATTGTTACCCAGACTGACGGCGACTCTTTCTCCCTTCTTCACGCCAAGCTTCTGCAGTCCCCTGGCAAGCCTGTTCGAGTCGCGATCGAGCGCATCGTACGTCAGGCGTATATGTTGATGATGCGATATCACTCTGTACGAGTATTAGCAATGCGTCCTTGCAGCTTGGTCTAGTTGGCACACACGCGTTCCGGTCACCGTATTGCCTCACAACTTCGTCAAAGTGCTGTGGCACCGTCTTCTCCAGCAGTGGCGGCTGTTATACTGTCAGTCTCCACCATCACATCATCAGGAAGCTTGGAACATGCCTCATTGGGTCCAATGCTGTATGCTTGTGTGAGTAGACCGCGTCGTGCGCAGTAAGCAGGCCTACGGGACCTTGCAGCACGAGCAAAGAGCGACCGAAGCATCTTCAGACGCGGAATGCATCGGAGGTAAGGAAGGATACACGTGCATCGTGAGATATGCTCGTGTGGAGAAAGCTGGTGTTAGTGAGCTTCGTTCGGAACTGAGCCGCGGGCCAGGTACGAGACTTGCGGGGTAGCTGTGGAGAGCTAGAGGCGCGCACGCGGTTGACGTCGGATAGCTGTCAGGGGTCTTCTCACTCCAAGACTTAGCATATTATGTAGTTGAATGTAACTGAGCATTGCAATACTACTTCCTTTGAGTTTCAGACACACCCGACTACTTCATGAGCAAGTCATAGTTCATTCCTATCGCCGTCCCTCCATCCACTCCCCATCCTCCGCAGCCAACCCCACCATCCCTCATCCTCCACATCTTTAAACTTCACAACACCACCATCCACCACATAATTCCCACTGAACATCCAATCACCCTTCTCCCTTCCCCCTCTGTTCGCAAGCCACCCCTTCCCCGTGAAAACCACAAGGCGGAAGCCACCGCCCCTACCCATGGGCTGCAGACCCGTCTCCAGTATATCGTGGAAATAGTGCGATTCGGGTATATGCATGTTCCAAATTGCGACATTGACTTTTACTTCTTTCTCCCCGTAGACAATGCGTATTGTCTCTTCTATAAGAGATGCCTGGCGTGCACGACCAATGTGGTCTAGGTCGAAGCCAATTTTGTGGAAGGGGTTGGTTGGTAAGGTTGTGCTGTTGGAGAGGAAGCCGACGAGGGCTGCTGCGAGGAGGTTTGCGGGCAGCATGATCTCAAGATGATGATTGCAGGATATTTTGTACTTGAGAACGGTTGTAAGCATGCGATTGGTGAATGGATGGATTTGGGTTTGATGCTTGTGGTGGTATTAGCGATGGTACGACGCCGCTCAAATACAGGCCTTGCAATGTTACACAGCGTCAAGCGCACCTTGGCTTTGTCTCGTTAGCAAAATCATCACATCAGTGCACAGAAAACAACTTTGAACGTTCCATACATGAGTCTACAGAAGAGACCAGAAGCAAGGTCTTGAGATAATCCTAAACTCCAAAGAGACCACTCCTGCTACGTCCCAAATGCTACCGCTCAAACTCAAGCACTCTTCTACTTGCATCACTAGCCGACCGGTTCCTAGTCGGCTTGATCTCTTCCCCAGTACCTGTCGGTGACAGTAGGTCCAGCGGTGCTTCCCCCTTTGATGCGCCCACGTCCGCCGTCTCGGCACCCTCCAGGAGGTCCAGGTCTTTCGCATCAACCTCCTCATCATCGTCATCATCTTCTCGTCCGTGTCGAGCTTCCTTATCCAGCTCCTTTTGAGCTTCATCATATCGCCTTCTGACTTCGGTTGCGACGCGCATTCCGTCGTTGACGATGTTGTCGAGCATGCCTCGTAGGCCTTTGCCGGGTGGTACAACACCAGCGCCAGCGCCGCCAACAACACCACCCAATCCTCCACCTCCGCCGCCTTGCCTTCCAGCGTTAGCGAAAGTGGTGAGGTTGTGGAAGCTGGATCCTGAGGACAACGTTTCGTCGGCCAGGCGGAAGGACGATGAAAAGCCGACTTCGAAGAAATTCAGCAGTGCGTCATCGGCGAGAATGACCATCCGGAAAGTAGGGAGCGTTATGTGAAGAGGCTTGTTCGGGTCAAGCGCAAGGTTTGCCGACTTCGCCTTGTCATTGCGCTCTGCAACGTCTGATTCAGTGGTATGATTTGATGGTGTTGGTGACATTGGGTTCTTTTCTGACTTCTCGAACGCGGTTGCTGTGGCTTTTGGTGTTGATGGCTCAGATCCAAAGTCTATCAGGTCATCTTCCTCGTCATCGCCAATAGCGAAATTGTCAACCTCTTCTGAGACCTGGTCGACTGCCTTATTTGACTGATTAGAAGGGTGATCGGGGTCTGCGTACTCGAAACAATGCCGAATGAAGGCGGAGACGCTGCTCAGGAACTGTTCGTCGCGACCGATGCGGTCTGAACCTGCCTCCGAGCTTACGTCAAGTGACGAGGCAGCCGGACTTGGATCGTGGACGCCTCGCCTCGACAGGAAAAGAAGAGCTTCTGAAATTCTCAAGATACCCTCACGATCAACCCTGCCATCGCCGTCGTCATCG